TTATACATCTGTGTTTGACCTTTTATAACAGTTTCTGCTTTTTCATACCGTTTCTATACTTTCTGTGGTTCGTCATTAATATTCCGTAAGATAAAACTGTTATAATGACAGACCAGAAAGTTGAAGACAATCAGATATCAGTTTGTCGCTGGCTGCGTAGGCATCACACAGAATCAATACTGCAATTTGTTGCAATTTGCAATTATTGTCAGGCAAGAATAAGTTACAGATTGGCATGTTTTAATTTACACCGTCACTTGATGTAGAAACATTCAGGAGAATTAACAGAAGAATAGAAGGAGAACATAGAATAGATTATAAAATTCATTGGGCTTGGGATTATTTTACTCCAAAAACAGATAAAGGGGCAACGTGCAACATATGCGACAGTTAGTACATATATGCTCAGTTATCGAGCCATCTTAAAAAGCACAGGGCCAAGTAAGTACACAATAAGTATTATATTATATATTTCAACAATTAAGAGAAATAATATAAGGAAACTCTATTACGGAGTTCTGTGCATAATTGTATCTGATATTATTATCGCGTTTCTTACTTTTTTCATCGCTCCTTATATAGATATGAAATTTTCAATCCAAATTACGCGAGCAATAGTGTAAACGACGATACGACCATAAAGAATGCGGAACATCAGAAAGTCAACGTCAACAGCTTCTAATTTGATCAATAACACGGATGGATCAGGTTTCTAACAAATAATTATTAAATTCACTACATGTATTTAAATACACGTAAACAGATTTTACGGATCAATTAATATTGCTTTTCCTGTATAAATATAATTTATACATAATTATGTAAAACTTATTTATTAAGTGTTTTATTAATTATCTATATATATATATAATTAATCCATTAATTGCAAATTATTTTTCCAAATCTGTTATACTATTTTACTTATTACAATATTTTATATGATGTTATGAAATAATTACAATTTTCGTAGTTATACTTTGCAAATATGCTGTATTAGTACAAGTATTAAATAAAATTTTCAATTAATGTGCACTTGTTTTTGTAAGTTGCTTTTGTAAGCTTTATTACCATTATTATTTTATGTACATATATATTTATACGTATTTTCTATTTTTTGTAACATTTTAGAAAATGTGTTTAATATTTATGCATTTTATATAATTAAATAAGCGCTTTCCATTATGCCATCATTTACTTTGCATATAGCAATAATAATACCTTATATTCTGATAAAATAATTTTGAGACACATTTATACTTTTACATATGCACACACAATACCATATATATAAATATTTAATTTTAAAATTTATATTATTTTTACTAGATTTTATCTATTCTAACCATATATTTAAATATAAAAAAATGACAGTTTTCGTATTATTATTATCAAGTAATGTAATTATAATGTTAAATAATACATTATATTTCATTACTTTAATATTTCTTTATCTTCTTTATTACAGATTTAAATTTGCGAAGTCTATGCAATATCTTTCACTAGCTTTGATCGATTATAACGGGAAAACTACTACTTTGATTAGCATATTAGAATTTTCAATCTTAATCAATTTCTAAGATATGCTATTAAATGGTAGTTGGAAATTCTACATTTCTTCCTACAAATTTCTGCATCCTACATTTTGTACAACGTATTATATATTATATATATTCATATATATTCAAGAACGCAAATCAGAGAATCACTGATAAACTAGATTTGCAATGATAAGAACGTAACTCGTGTGCTATTGATATTAAATTTAAAGTGCAGTTCACGAGCGCGAAGTAATACACTTATATATTTTTTTCTGATTGTATTCTCGCCGAATTTATTATTCGCCATCGAAATGGTTTCGCGAGTTCTCTCACATCCGTTCGTCCTACGATGTTTGACTACATCTCCGGGATTCCTACGAGTTCGAGAATCGCAGACCGGCTAGCTCCAGTAACAGATAATTAGACATCGCTATGTGGGAATGACGAAGAATCGGTGCATGGGCTCTGCGTAGACGCACACCCGTGGGGTACCACTTATTTCACCGCTGGGATGTTCGAATAATTGAACGTTGGCCGATACGTGGCGGCGAGTTGTACCGTATAACGGTTATTCGCATGCTGCGAATCGTATCCTGCGGAAACGCCGAGTGCTTATATCAACCTGCGAGGCAGCACGATGTCTATTTCAAACCGCCAATCTTCCATTCTTGTCTATATATACTTCTTTTCTCTTTTCACATTTTCTTTCACTGTTTCACTGTAATCACTGCAATATACAATGCACGTATCCTATAAGTATATTGAGAATCTTTTTAGCTTAAAACTTTAAATTTGACATCTATTTTACCTAGCTTCTAAAAATATTGAACGATTTTCTTTTCTGTTTCCAGCATTTTTTCTACTCTTGACGCGAGACATTGAGAAAGTTATGTTTCGAATGAGTTTAAGCGACGTCTATTTAAAAGTAAAATAAGGTATTGCTATTTATTTGCACTTTCGAGACATAATTCGCCTGCAGCCTACATTTATCGACATTGAATAGTTTCGTATTAATGCCTCGCTATCGAAACAACCGTCATCCTTTTTGTTTGTTCTCCAGTATCTATGATTGAAAGGCCACATCCGGCCAATCTGGGACGCCTTGTATCGCGCTCGTGTATTCATCTCCCCCCGCTTCTTCGCCGCGGTTCGGCCCACAGTCGACTATCGATAATCAAGGTGTATCCGTAAAGCAAATAGCTGTTTTCTCAAGTGCCGATATCGGTTCGCCATTTTCGAAAGTGTACTCTTCGCCTGTGTACAAGAGCCTGTGGGGCGTCATGAAAACGATCCGCGTTGCACGATGGACCACGCACGCTTGTCAACGCGTTGAACGTGTACACGCGAAGCGAGCGATCGCCTCATAAAGATGGAATCAAGCAACCTGCGTACGATCGATGTGTTAATTACGCGGCGAAATCGGCGACAGGAATTATTTTTAATCAAAGGAGGTCAATCGTCGGAGACAAGTCTCTCCGATTCGCAAACATTGTCCATGGCACAGCGAACGACGGAACGATGATGACGATCCCACGTCTGGAAGGAATTATGGAGAGATAATTCGAACGTGTGCAACGGGAAACGACGCGCGTTCTCCATAAGCGTGTATACACGATGTATTCGCGATGTAAGTGTGCGCAAATCGAGAGCGCGCGGGCAATAGTATTCAGAACCAAAGTATTCGGGGGCTAAAGTGGATGGGGTATACGTGATCGGAGTATCCGATAGCGAGCGCAGACTTACGGCGAGAACCGCGCGCGAATCGCCTCTGCCGCAATAAACGCGCCAGCCAATATATATGCCCGGGGCTGAAACGTGGCGCTGATACCAGCGCCCAGTCTTTATTTAATTAATGTAATCGATACGACCGTGTAAATGCGAACGCTTGTTCCTCTCGGCAAAGCGATCGTTTGCCCTCCGGCCGACGGTCTGCGCGAGTTCGGACGATGTACGTGTCTCATTCCTCGACGGCCGTACGCACTTAATGCGTGTATGCGCTGCTATCGCATCGCACGACTGCAAGGTGCGTTCCATGGACTTCTGAAAGAGAAAAGGTTCCACGTGCGCTTCCATGCAATTCGCTCGTACGTGTAGCATTGCTAAACGCGAATTATTCTGACGATACGAAGTGATTTTCGAGAGAATGGAGAATGCCTACAATAACACGGAGGTGTTGAAAAGTGTTTGGTATTTATGACTGTAAAGTGTAATTGCATAGCAAAATATTATGGTTGCGAAACTCTCCAGTTAACACTAACTAAAAGTAACATAACATTAATGTTATAATTTCGTACTCAACAATGTAACTGTTAGACATTTAACACGCCATGAGTTACATTATTGAGTGTGAAATTATAACATTGATGTTATGTTACTTTTGGTTTTGTCGACTAAAAGTTTATTGAATTAAAGTTAAATTTTACAGGTAGCTAGTTGAAAATAATTCCTTTTGATATACAGATCTATAAATATAATTGTTATTACTAACATTATTATAGAAATAATTATAAAAATAGAGAGAGAGAGAGAGAGAGAGAGAGAGAGAGAGAGAGAGCCTAATAATTATTTCCTAATGCAATTAAAGTCACAAATACCAAAAACTTTTCTTTTAGCGTAACATAACACAATTCACGATTAGTGCCTCCGCGTAGCGATTATTTCGACGCATATCGAAATTCGCATCTTCAATTATTTATTATAATTATCCTCACGTTGACGTGTTGTCGCCGCTAGCAAATAGTAGTTCTCACAGCGGAGCGTTTAATAGTCGGAGAAGTTTCGGCACTTGAATTATTTGCTATACGCGGCGCGGGCGCAATTACGTCGCGTCCATTAATCACGGAGTGCAATCACGAGCGACGCGCTTACAGCGCATATTTTATAATTTACTTTCGTACGTCGGGTACAGTCATTTATTCCGTCGGCCGACCATCATGACAAACCAGCGGCGGCGGCGTATCCTGCGCGTCATTGCGCCAGCCGGTTACGAGAGCCAATTTTCGCGAAGAATTAATTTACGCCCTCACAGGGCGAGCATTGCCGTGCACTTCGAAATCGCTCGTTTTCGCTACGGGCGTTCCGATGCACGCATGAATGCGTATGCCTTGTCCCGGGACTCGTTACAGGAATTTCATCGGTTCTTATCTCACGCGAAGCTCATGTAACCACCGCTACCTCACCGATTGCAAAACGCGTCGACAGGTGACAGCCAGTTAAGACGATCTTCGGGAACAGTATTTATGTATACCTGGACGCTAAGCTTATCGTCCGACACTGACTTTTCACAAACAGGTAACGACATGAGCGTTGAATCGGTTAAATTAATCTGTATGTTATCCGATTTTGCATTTTTTGGTACACGCGATGACAACGTGGGCGAATAAAAGAGATAAGTACATGTAGTAGAATTTGTAATATGCATAAAGATTCAAAAGCGAAGGGACAAGTTAGGCCAATAGGCCGATACGAGTTCTGAAAAGACGGTAGTACTGAATAATATTTGCTTTTTCTTTGTATATCTTTTTACAATGAAGGTTAGTGGTCCATATGATTATAAAGTTGAATTTTGGAAACTGCTGCACGAAAGATGTCTGCTGATATACAGTCAAATCACTCTCTTTTTGCCAAGAGTTCTGACATTTTCCGACTGATCTCTTGCACAAGATTTTTCCTTCAATATATAATAATCTGAGTTTTTTATTATCTACAATATAATTAAATATAAGTTAGTAACGGTACATATTTACTTAATATGTGTAATAGTTTTTACACGGTTATATTAAAAGTAAAAAGATAAAGTATGCACTTGAAAACTTGATCCAGCTCGTAAAAAATGATATAAACTGATTAAGTCATGTAATATATTCGCATAAGCATGTAATATATTTTAGTTAAATATCTGTCGTGAACCGACATTATGTACCTATTACATATTACAGTTACATGTCGGTTATCATGTATGTATGTTATACAATAAGGTTACTCTTCCATTATATATCCACATTTCATGTAATAAATGCGACGATTGAAACTATAATAGTTTGTGTAGAAACAGATACGTATCTATTTGATATCGAATATATATCTGAAATGATAACCATTGTTATCGTCTTGTAACAGTTGGCTCTTTGAAACTAATCAGAAACATGTCAGT